GTAGTCATGTGTAATGTGTTTTGGAGTGCAGTGATTACTCTTTTCTGAAACTTTTTCCCTTTCTTTCTTTTTTTGTCAACTTTCTGCATTGGCAGAGCATCTTGGGATTGAATTTATGGGTATGGACCAATCATCATTCCTTTTAGCCTGCAGAATTTAAAACCTATGAGCTGAAATCTTTTTCCCTTCCTACTCTTACCTTTCAGTTCCTAACTAATTTCCTTTTTCTTTAGAAGGGATCATACAGCTATAACTAAAGTGATTGTTCCACTTTCAATCTATGATTAGTTTACCCAAAATGTTATTGAGCACAGCAGCTTTTAGATTCCCAAGCTTCACTTAGAGTTTAAAATCACCTCACCTGCTGCAAATTCACATACATCCCACCTTCCTTGACCCACTGATTGGATCTGGCCCTGATGTTATTTAAGAGCTGGGGTAAGTTGGAATGACATACAAGGCTACGGGAGGAACCAAACCAGGGGCTTAAGAACCAAAGAAGTTTTAAATACTTCGCCCTAAAAAAAAACCACCACATCTTAGACTGATGGAAGTTTGACATACAATATAAAAATCATATGCAATATAGTAACATAGAAAGCCCTTACATTGCAACACAATATGACATGAACAGACATGAATTGCTCTGATTTTCTGGAGCTATTCAAGCATGGCTCTAGTCAGCTTCATTATCTCCTGAGCAAGGAAATAGAAAACAGAAAGATATAAGCCTTGTGCTATTTTAGGTGGAAATTCTAGTGCTAATGGAATTAAACTTGAGTCACTAAGATTATCCAGACAAGTAATCAAATACTGTAAACATCAAATATCTCCTAGGAGCATATGAATTTGGAGCACGCTCCTTCTGAAGGCCTTCGTCCTAAATAATTGATAGAAACAGTCAGTCTTGGGAGGAGGGGAAGCCGTGCTACCTTCCCAGAGGCTCCACTGCACAGGCACCAGGCCTCATGAACACTGCACACAGCCCTGAAATGGGTAATGGTCAACAGTGTCCTGATTAGCAGAATACCTGCTCCCCATCCAGCTGGTGTCAGTGACAACATACAGCGAGGGCACCCTCCAACTGCTCTTTCATTTGGGCTGATAACCTCACAGTTGACAGCTAATGCACTTTCCAGTATTTGTGGGAAATGACGCTGTCACAGGCTCTCCCAGTTGCAGGAATAGAAACTCAATGAATTGTCCATTCCTCCAAAAATCTTCCAAGAGAAAACCATTTAATGAGAATCCCCCACCCCCCACATTTATATGTGGTCTTTGAACATCAGAGAACACCTACCAAGAGTGAGAGGCAAGAGAGGGCCTACCAATGGCACTTGAGTGGCAGGTCGCCTACATGAGGGGAGTTATCTATATGGTTTACTTCCCTTGGGATAAAAAGTGACCCACTTCTGAAAAGGCTTCTTGGCCTTTCCTGCACGGAGGAAGAGCTTTCCACCATCACCTCCCTTCTCCCCAACAGCATCTTTCCTACTTTATCACACTGGAGTCTGACTACAGAATTTATTATTCCCATTCCTGAGCAAGGAAGTGAGGTAAAGGATAGCTCAGATATACCAATTCGCCCTTAGTAAGATCGTAAGAATCAATAAAGACTCCACAGTCCCAAGACTAGACCAGTCAACCCTTAAGGAAAGTCAGACCTTAAAGGTCAATTAAAACTGAGAAAGACAAGGCCTCTGTCTCCTGGCCTGGCCAGATCCTACTGAAAAACATGCTCAATCTGATCCACTTGAATGTCCAGCCAAACCAAAGAGCAAAGTCTCAGCAGCTTTTCCATTCATTACGGCCGAGCTGCCAATTGGACCGAGGGCTTCTCTTTTTCAGCACTGCCTCTAATTTACTGTTGTCCTATTGACCCCATTTTACACTAGGAAAAAAAAAATATGGAGAAAAAAAGGGGGTGGAGTATTCATATTATTTTCATCAAGTATTTTTCTCTTAACATTCATATTGTGGGGGCGACCTGATCTAGGAAATCATTGGAAAATCAAACAGAAACAGATGAGAAACATTGAAGGCAGTCAGTAAATGCTGATGGGAATACAGAATCCTAGTCCCACATCTGTGTTCTGTGGGCGTTGGCTTTCGTGGGTCATCTTAGCACTTTTGCTTGACCCCTTGGCCTTTATTGTGCTGCCCTTTTATTTCCATGGCTGATCTCACAGGGAAATGTGTGCCTTCCTACAGAACATAGGAAGAATGCCAGGTATTCACAAACCCAGGTCAAACTATTCTTTTATTATTAACCATCAAAAACGTGTCAAAAGAATTCCCGAGAGTACACGTGATGCTTGGTCTTCCTTCAGTCCTTGGCTAGAGCCCATGTTTTCAGTCTGCAGAAACCATTTCCCAGTGTTCCTAAAGATACGATGGTAAGATGTCAACGCAACCAAGCCCTTACTATTTTAAAAGAAGAAAAAATAGAGTGAAAAAGGACACAGAAGGCAGGGTCTTCATTTTCTTGGCAATAATACGTGTGCACTCCAATTTCTTAACCAACTCGCAGGAACCAAAGGAGCCTTGCTCTGCGTCCTTGGGTCCCCTGGAGGACCAGCAGGGATGTGCTGCCTCTGCTGCTTGACGTAGATGCTAAATACTGATCTGGATGCCAGGTCATGGAGGCGGCTCCAGTGGCACCAGCTCACAGATTAGCACCCCATAAAATGTAATTCCCTGTCCTGTGGCTATGGGGGGAGGAGAGGCAGCAGACACAGCAATTAACACATCAGCATTCACATTCCACTCCTCCCTTGACTTTTGCGGCACAAAAATATGTGACACCACTTTTATGTCTCCTGGTTCAGTGTTGCACCCAGTGCACCGGCTGCTTCGCTTCCTAATCGTGGCTTCCCTGTGCTGGCCAGCCTAGGTTAGGAGTTATGCTGTATGGGGTAACCCTTCCAACTTCGCATCCACCTGTGCTTCCTACCTGAAACTTTCCTCCCTCTGGTTTTCTTTTTATTTGTTTCTTTTTCCTCCCTTAGTATCAGGCATGCTGTGCCAGGGACTTCAGATGACTCCTCCACTTCTAACCTTGTTTTGCCTTGACCCTGACTGCCTCCCTCCCTCAGTCATTCTGTCAGTCTGTCTGTCCTCCTCGGTTTGTTTTTCCTTTCCACTTCCAACCCTTCTGGTTTGTTTTTGTCTAATCTCTGCGGCATTCTAGTCTTTTACCCACTGACTCCTGTTCCCCTCCTCCTCCTCCTGTTAATAATCAGTGCTCTATTAATTTGATTTGACAATGTTCCTGACCTGTTAACTGGAATTTGATTACCGTGGGCTTGGCTTGTAGGAAATGTTTTGTATAATGATAAGGTCCACTGTGTCACAGAAATTAAAATGCACTTTTTCATTTCAAGGAAACTTCCTGCAAATTGCTCTCTCTCAATAGAGAAAAGAGGTGTGGTCACTGAGACTGAGCATGTCAACTGGAAATGTTCAGAAGGCCCATGTTGATGCCCGGATAAGAGGCATTCATTTGTATAGGGTGTCCCAAAATGCACGCAAGGTTTGCAATTCAATTCAATTGCAAATCTTGCGTGCATTTTGGGACACCCTATATAATATCCCCCAGATCTTGACCAGCCTGTTAATCAGAAAACCAAGCACAGCTGACCCTGCTTGTTATGCACTGGTTGAGTTCTCTTTCTCAGTGACCTGCAAACTAACTTCCAATAAGTGTAATTAGACTGGTTGGAAGTTCAGTTCCTAAGGCAGTGGTTCTCAACCTTCCAGATGCCGCGACCCTTTAATACAGTTCCTCATGTTGTGGTGACCCCCAATTTCATTGTTACAAATTGAACATAATTAAAGCATAGTGACTAATCACAAAAACAATATGTAATTATATATATGTTTTCCGATGGTCTTAGGTGACCCCTGTGAAAGGGTCGCTCGACCCCCAAAGGGGTCGTGACCCACAGGTTGAGAACCGCTGTCTAAGGGATCAGGTTCACCATTAGGTCAGCCAACCTTGTTAAGAACCTGATCTACCATAGAATCAATCAAGTTGTCCACCCCCCAAAACTAATTTGCAAATAGAAAGACTTTCATGCATAAGAGACTGGTTGCATTTGAGGTACAATAGTGCCTTTACTTCAAAATTCTAACTCACACCTCCTTAGTGTAATCTACATTAGCTAATTTGCCATGTTGGTCAATGCAGGAATGTATAATCTATTCCAAATTGCATATTATTTGTGCTAGTTATTCCTTTACACAGATAGAGGAGGCCTCTAAGGGCATTTGGTGACGTAATAATAATTGTCCTCCAAAGAACGAGTCTTCACCTTTGCCCAGGACTGTCTTAGCCACCAGATTGGATTTTCTCTGATATAGCATCTTGCTACTCCGCATCCTGTGGTTTATGTTCACATTTTACTGTGAAATCATACGGATCCTGCCCTGATTTGGTTGCTCACTACAAGCCAAGCTCATGTTCGCAAATGTCTTTGAGTTTATTTCGTTAAGTTATAAATGGTTCTTTGTAAAGACCACTGGAATATACAATAGCTGGGAAATCAAAAGAGACGGGGGGTGGAGAGAGAAAGGAAGAGAGGAGGGTCCCAGGGGTTCCAAACCCAGCTCCTTTTATTGGCGTTGATTCCTGTTGTCTTTGCAAGAGATGTTTGCAAGAGATTTTTTTTTAATAAAAGTACAGTTTTAACCAAATAGTTATCTTATAACCAATGTTTATGATTTGCTAGTTTAATTCATATGTATCAATAGCTTATACTTAAAGTAATATTATGGCAGACTGTTTTTTATTGTAAATGGCCCCATCTGGCTCTGTTGTTTATACTTACCACATAGAGCAGTGTTATGCTGTACCTTAAGTATGTCTGCAACAGTAATGAATTGTCACATGTTTATTTCTTGTGACCATGGATAGTGCCATGCAGCATGCCAACTGTTCAATTGTAAGTCCGGGCAAGGGTCAGGGGCCTTTGGTGACATCTGCTCTCGTCCCTTTCCAGAAGCAGAGGAGCTCTACCAGAAGAGGGTGCTGACCATCACTGGCATCTGCATCGCCCTGCTAGTGGTCGGCATCATGTGTGTGGTGGCCTACTGCAAAACCAAGTAATCCTTCCTCCCCGCGCTGCTCCCTCCTGACAGAAACCCATCTCCACAGCCCTGTCTTGGGGGAAAAAGGGGGGAGAGACCCCAGGAGGACTTTTCCCCTTAGTGTTTCTTCTGAATCATCCATTTGAGGCACCTTTCCTAATCACATAATTAGAAAGCACTGCCTATTGGTGTGAAAATGCTGAGGAGACTTCTGATGAGTGACCACAGCCCCCTGACCAGAGAAAGGGTTGGGCAGGCAGGCTTGTATGGGGCCCACACGTGTGCATGTGTGTGCGCATGTGGATGTGAGAGGAGGGTGGCGGGTGCAAGAAGTGCACTTGTCAAACACTGCTGGGGACACGTCCAGTTTGCAATTACCATGAGAAGATAAAGGAAACACTTGGTGGCATTTGAGATGCGGTTTTCTGAGCATTATCCTGATTATTTTTTTAATTCCATCCAATGAAGTTTCCAGCTCAGATGCTCATGAGTGTGAGATGTACAAAAGGAATCTTCTGAGAGGAAAGTCAAGGGAAACTTGCTTTGAAAGAACAAAAGGGAAAACATTAAAACAGATTTGTGTTCACTATTTTTGATCCTTTAAAGTGGGTCCATATTAACAAATGTAATCACTTTGTGACACACATTCCCTCCACTTTCTGACGTATGACCTCCACTTCAAGTCTAAACAAATATTAACAGTTTTGTTTTGTTGCTTCATCACATAAATTTTCTTGCCAAAGCAAGTCATGGGGATATTGTTATGATCTGAATGTTGTGTTGAGGAACGAAGACAGTGCTTTTAGTCCATAAAATCCAGGGCATAGATGGAGTTTTCCTACAACCCCAGAACTGGGTGCCAGAACTGAGTAAGCGACAGAGATTAGCCTTCATGGAGTCACCTTAAGACTTATTTATTTATTTTAAATCTTTATTGTTGAAAGTATTACATAGGTCCTTCTTTTTTCCCCCTTAACCTGTTCCCTTAAGAGTCTTTTTAGATATTTTAATACCTACTTATAAAAAAAAAAGTTGCCAAAGTACGATCCTGTTACAACTGTGCCCAAATCTACAGCCAAATATGCACGTTTTCACTCATGTACAGTATTAGGCATGCACACACACCATGGATCACGTGCAGACTCAAAACTAACTGCGTTTTCTAAAGGCCAACAGGCAAAATTATAAATGAAATCAGCTCTGTCAATTGCACAGCGCAAGTTGTTACCTAAGACAAATGACCACCTGTAAGACTTAGGCCCAGATGGGTGGATTAGCGACGATGGGGATTCAGCCAAATATCAACCCAACTTACCCCATCTTCTCCTCTGTCTGTCTTCTCTCTCAGCAGTCGGGTTTCATTTCTGTAAGAAGCCCATTCGGCTTCTTACACCTATTGGTTAAGAGAATGTGTATGGTTCCGCAGCTGCCCACAGGCAGATTCTAAGATGAAATGGCACGCTCTCTCCCCCTCCTCCCTCACTACCAAGCCACTGCCCGGGTTATGTGTTGGTGAAATAAGGAATTGACTGAAATGAGAAATGTAAGCAATAGAAAAAAATAAATGCTCCCTTTTCCACACGCAGGAAACAGCGGAAAAAGCTTCATGACCGGCTTCGGCAGAGTCTTCGGTCCGAGCGCAACAACATGGTCAACATCGCCAACGGGCCTCACCACCCCAACCCGCCCCCCGAGAACGTGCAGCTGGTGAATGTATGTTGACTCTGGCAGTGGAGACGCTGAGCATCTCCCCTCTGTTCAGGCACCTTGCAGTTTATTTTCTAAAGCTCTTAGCTGCTGCCATTAATCTCCACGGCTTCCAGGAATCCAAGGATTTGCCAGGAGAAAATAATGGGGACATTTTTTAAAGTGGATTTGGTTACTGTAAAACCAGCACATTTCCTCCCCTAAAGTGTTCATTAAGGGGTTGGAATAATAATGTTGGGTTTGTTCTGCGGGGAGGCCGTAGCTGGAAGAAAGAAAAGAAAAACACAAAGGAAAATTAGAAAATGAATGATACCAGGATCAGAAGGAAATGTTTTATTTTTCTAATTTGGAAATGAAGGCTGCTCCAGCCTCTCACTGATTAGTACTGAGAACGGAGCTGAGGGCTTTAGAGTGATTTTATTGGAGGCATCACCGTGCCTGATGATTTGCGGATTCTGATTTACAAAGGAAGAAATTAGGGCAGGGAAAGGTCAAGTGACTTATCAAACTTGCTTCTCAGCAAAACTGGAGGAACATTTGCTTTCTATTCCCGGACTCTGTCTACATGATGCCACACCCTCCTGATGAAACCTACCCTTCACCACTCAAGTCCTTTGTTTAAAATTTACCAGGCTTTGAAATATAACTGAGTCAGAGAATATTAGATTCCGCAAAGTCTTTCGATATCATCTTCAAATCTTCCTCTTTTTTTTTTTCAGAGAAGGGCCAGAGCTGAACTCAGTTTCCCTGGCTTTTGAAGTGTTGCTCTTTCTATTCCTATTCCACCATCATTCTTCCTGTTTTCGTCATTTCTCTCTGATTTTTTACTTTTTATAAGCAAAGCTCAAAGATTGTATTGCACTACCATTTTCTATTCTATAGAAAAAGGTATATTTGTGTGGAGCAAATATATCATGGACCCGAGTTCAGAGTGAGTGGTTTCTAAACCACCAGTAAGTCTTGTAGCAGAGACCTACCGGAGACTGGTAGAGTCAGGTGCAAATACATTAGGATGCTTTGCTGCTTCCACCCCCATCAGTGCTCATTAGAATGATCTGCATGGTCCATCAATGCACTCACTACAGACACGCCTATATGCTGTCACTAAGAAAGTTACAAGATGTAGGAAGTGGAATGACTTCCTGGATTCCATTCATGGCTCACACACTGTGTGACTTTAGGCTTTAACCTTTCTAAACCCTATCTGTTCATCATGAAAACAGGCCTAAAAATAATACTTACTTCAGAATGTTCTTGCTAGCATTAAATAAGAGAACCTACATAAAACACTTAGCCCAGTGGCATTTAATGAGTGTTGAATAAGTGTTAAATGTTATTTTCATTAGATACACTGAGCTTACACTGCTTTCCAGGAGCAAGAGTGAAATAGTACCCAGACTGGAAGTAGCTCATTATGTGTGACGCCACCATCTTTTAAAGCCAGCTAGCCGCACGTCCCAGGGATTCCACATGGAATAACCTTTCCTCCAAGAGAACCAGTTAGAACATCAAGCATAATTCAAGTTGCATTTTTTGGGGTTTCCATGAATATATGAGGTTATTTTAGCACTCTCTGCCCATCAGATTACAAAGCCCTATTTCATCTGAGGGTATTCTTTCTTTGCCTCATCCTCTATTTAACTTAATTTGGTGTAAATACAAATAGCATTTGAAACAACTTCAGAATGTGCCTCTCCCGCTGAGAAGACAACATGTCCAAAGAGTAACTTATTAACTCCACTCACTGAATCTAAAGGCCACAGTAACCAGAATAGGATTTTCCATCTGGACATTGGAGAAAAGAAATTTATTATGAAGAAATGTACTGTTTATTATGTGTACTAGAACAGATGTTTGTGTGTGACAGTGCTAATGTTTTGACTTACCTGAATCTTCAAGTTGTGTCTCTTTGTTTATCCAGCAATACGTATCTAAAAATGTCATCTCTAGTGAGCATATTGTTGAAAGAGAAGTGGAGATATCTTTTTCCACCAGTCACTATACCTCGACAACTCATCATTCCACTACTGTCACCCAGACTCCGAGTCACAGGTATGAGAAAAAAAACAGTTGTGTGGTTCCTCCGGGAATGAATTTTTGTCAATTTCCTTGTGCTGTCATTGCCTAAGAAAGGCACAGGACACATGTAGGGGGCAGTGAAGTATAGTTAAATGTATGGTGTGGGACAAAAACAGACTTTGGACATCAACTGGCTCTGTCATTTAATTGCTGTTTAAATTTGAGCCTTAATTTTTTTCATCATCAAACAAGGGGAAATGATATCTACCTCAAGAGTTGTTCCCTATTTTAGAGATTGTCTTTACTCTTGCCCAACCACTCACTGAATTGCTATATGGAGAAAACTCTTTCTTAGATGCTATATAATACTTAGAAGTTGACTTCTCCCATTGATTGAATTGCCCTAGGAAATACACATGAGAAATCGATTAAATAGGTGAACCCTAAATTAGCAAATGCCCTGGTGACCAATATCTGAGTGCAACACTAGTGCAACCAAAGGCAACACTAGACTTCCAAATGTAGCTCACTTGGGCAAGTGTTTCCTTAACCTAAGCTGTCAAGATCAGAATGATTTTAAGAACACTTAGCACATAGTGATATTTGATAAATGTGTTGAATGAGTGAACAAATGAATAATAACCTGTGTCCTTACAAAACCAATCTAAATCAAGATCCTTTCTATAGCAAGTGTCTTTATAACAATTCTATTCTGAGACAAGTTATGTTATAGTGAACTACTAATGCATGGACAATTTGAAATATTTGTCTGGTCATTCTCTTCATTTCCATTTTTGCACATAATTTCCTAAAACATATCTTTGCCTTTCACATTTCCCCTCTAGCTGGAGCAACGGACACACCGAAAGCATCATTTCTGAAAGCCACTCTGTAATCATGATGTCATCAGTAGAAAACAGTAGGCACAGCAGCCCAACTGGGGGCCCAAGAGGACGTCTTAATGGCATGGGAGGCCCTCGTGAATGTAACAGCTTCCTCAGGCATGCCAGAGAAACCCCTGACTCCTACCGAGACTCTCCTCATAGCGAAAGGTAAAACTGAAGGGCAAAGCTACTGCAGAGGAGAAAGAACCCCAGTAAGCGAATCCCCATGAGCACCTGCGGTCTCACCTAAGGAAATCTACTCTAATGAGAATAAGGGGCAGCAGTTGCCTGTTCTAGGAGTGCTCCTAGTTGATGAAGTCATCTTTCTGTTTGACTGAACTCATTTCTTCTGAGCTTCTCACCTCGTCCCAGTGGCCAACAGGCAACAGACTCTTAACGAGCTGGAATGATTTGATGTGGAAGGTGCAGCCAACTTGGAGTTCCTAGGTCCGGCCTTAGGCTCAGCCCCACTCGGGATCTGTTTCCTCAGTTGTCACTTTAGAGAGATGGCACCAGTGAATGATAAGGACCCTTCTAGAATTCCAATTTGCCAGTTATCCAAACTCTGGTCGAACTGACCTCGTGTTCTCATGTGCTAACTCGTCTTACCTTCCAGCCTCAGTTAAATCAAATCAAGGGCTATGTCACTGCTGACTCTCATGGGGAACACCTGCTTGCGTTCCACCATAGATTATCCCTTTTATGAAATTCCAAGAAGGGAAGAATAAATAAATCTTTTATATGCTGCGTCTGACAGTCTTCACAGGTGGTTTTCAAAGTAGATATTGCCTCTCATATGGCCCTTTATTCCAGAATGTTTTGGCTTTTTTTCTGGGGGTATTGGATTGGGTTGGGGAATTATAGCAAAGGTAAAATAAAGAACAGAGGAAAGTAAACTGAAAGAGATGCTTTATAGGCATACTAAATTTATAGATTCTCTATCCATTTTCACCTAAACTGGGAGAGAGTTATACCCAACCAGCATTTCTAGCCCACCAGTAAGCTGTCACTTGTTTGTTTTCAAATCCAGAGAGGTTTTGTCTGCTTGTTTACTGTATCATCTCAGTCTAATCTTTGACCATTTGTTCAAAGCTTTACATAATGTCAAATATGTATTTGGTATTTACATGGGTGGAAATAGTTTGGTAGACTCTTTCCACTCTTCGCTTGGGAAGTACTTAAGACAAAAGATGACCAGTTTGGGGCTTATAGGTCATATAAAACCTGCTAATCACTTCTCCAATGGCCTTTCTATGAAATATCCCAAAATGGTATTTCAAAGCTTTATGGAATTAAAGGTTGCTCTGTTCATGGATGGAAAATAAGGCATTGTCCAAAACTGGTTTAAAACATTACTCTTAGATATACATATAATTATACATTTATGTATTTAAAAAGTCTATCTATTTTGTTTTAGTCTTTTTTGAAACCTGAAAAGAGTTTAGGGATCAATTCTTTCTTACTACATGTGACATTTATCTTTAAAGAATGACATTTCCCTACTGTGGTAGACTTCCTTGAATATCCCAGATAGTCTCTAGGATTATGAAAAGACAAATCACTTTTATGTGTTTGGTTAAATTTGGATTAGCATTTCTCAGAGAGCTAAAGTTAAGTACTCATAAAGCAAAAAGTCTGAAGATTCAGGCCCCAAGTAGTTCAACCTCTAGACACTCTCCCATTTTAGACACAGCTAGATCTCACATTCATATAACTCTGAATCATGGCTGGAAGCAGGAAAGTTAATAAGTTCCTGTTAGCTAATGTTCAGATGGTGCTGTCCTGAGTCATCACAGGTCGTGTCAAATTAGACTCTGAGAACACCAATGTGAAAAAAAGAGTCATCTAGTGCTATGCATTGGTAACATTTTTATCAAAAGCTGAGAAGTGTGACTGTCAATAAGCCACATGTCTTCTCCAGTGCCAAGTCAGGTCTTCGTATTCCCAGGGGTATAAAGCATGATATGGTAAAAACATTGCACTCAATGTCTTGACAAAAAGATTCAATGAGCATTATCAGCCATAACATGACATAAGGTAACATGGTACAGCAGACTTTGAGCAGTCACAAAGATAAGCCAAAGACTGATGCAGCTCTAAGCTTTGGAAGAAAGGTAAACCAGAGATTGAATATACTGTGAAGCCAATGTAAGGTTCTCTCAGGCTTACCTTTGGATGTCTTGGTCACTGGGATGGATAGTTGCAAATTGAATGTTAAGAAGTAGCATTTCATGGGAAAATTTAAAGCACACAAATATGTTACACTGTTATCAAGAATAAATCTAAGTCACTATGCTCTTTTTTTTTCATAAGACATAACCTTATAGCTGAGCTAAGGAGAAACAAGGCACACAGATCCAAATGCATGCAGATCCAGCTCTCAGCAACTCATCTTAGATCTTCCTCCATTCCCCATTTGGGCTTCATTCTCTAAGACCCCTTGGCCTTTAGGAAGGTATAGTATTTAAGTAATACTTCTTTCCCTTACAAATCCCTCAGCCTTGGTCCTTACAAACTAACAGGTTCCCAGGACCTCGTGCCCTCTAATCTTGACTCATGTTTTTATTTACAATCATGATGATATTGGAAATCCTTAAAGCTTTGATGAGCTAGGCCATGTAGCTGATCTGTGCATGTACTCCTGTAAGGAAACTCTTGGCTTCATAACTTCAGATTCCAAGGGTACTGAATGTCCTAGTGTAAAAATCCAAGAAGTATACGATGAACAGAAATTCTTTGTTCTCTGATTATATAATATCGTGAACTCTGTCCCCTTCCCCTCCCTACTCTATGACTCCTCTTATTCCACCACACTTATGTGGGGTATTCTGTGCTCACACAGGTATGTGTCAGCAATGACCACCCCGGCTCGTATGTCACCTGTAGATTTCCACACGCCAAGCTCCCCCAAATCGCCCCCTTCGGAAATGTCTGCACCTGTGTCCAGCACGACGGTGTCCATGCCCTCTATGGCAGTCAGCCCCTTTGTGGAAGAAGAGAGACCTCTGCTTCTGGTGACACCACCACGGCTGCGGGAGAAGTATGACCACCACCCTCAGCAATTCAACTCCTTCCACCACAACCCCGCGCATGAGAGCAGCAGCCTGCCCCCTAGCCCCTTGAGGATAGTGGAGGATGAGGAGTATGAAACGACCCAGGAGTACGAGCCAGCTCAAGAGCCTGTTAAGAAACTCACCAACAGCCGGCGGGCCAAAAGAACCAAGCCCAATGGCCACATTGCCAACAGGTTGGAAATGGACAGCAACACAAGCGCTGAGAGCAGTAACTCAGAGAGCGAAACAGAAGATGAAAGAGTAGGTGAAGCCACCCCTTTTCTGGGCATACAGAACCCCCTGGCAGCCAGTCTCGAGGCAGCACCTGCCTTCCGCCTGGCCGAGAGCAGGACTAACCCAGCAGGCCGCTTCTCGACACAGGAGGATCTGCAGGCCAGGCTGTCTAGTGTAATTGCTAACCAAGACCCTATCGCTGTATAAAAACCTAAATAAACACATAGATACACCTGTAAAACTTTATTTTATATAATAAAGTATTCCACCTTAAATTAAACAATTTATTTTATTTTAGCAGTTCTGCAAATAGAAAACAGGAAAAAAAACTTTTATAAATTAAATATATGTATGTAAAAATGTGTTATGTGCCATATGTAGCAATTTTTTACAGTATTTCCAAATGAGAAAGATATCAATGGTGCCTTTATGTTATGTTATGTCGAGAGCAAGTTTTGTACCGTTACCGTGATTGCTTTTTCCACAGTATTTCAGCAAAACCTCCCATATATTCTGTTTTCGCTGGCTTCTTGTGCATTGCATTATGATGTTGACTGGATGTATGATTTGCAAGACTTGCAACTGTTCCTCCGTTTGCTTAAAGTAGCACCCAATCAGTACGTCTTGTAATGGCACATCCATCCAAATACTCTTCTCTTCTGTACGAAGTTTTCTTTTGCTTTCAGTCTATGAAATGAGTCGTGTCTACTCTGCCAGCCAAAGGTTTGCTTCACTGGGCTCTGAGATAATAGTAGATCCAACAGCATGCTACTATTAATTACAGCAGGAAACTGCATTAAGTAATGTTAAATATTAGGAAGAAAGTAATATTGTGATTTTTTTTAAAAAAACTATATTATTCATCAGAAGACAGCCTGCTCTCACTAAGAGGAGCTATCACTTATTTTATTTCAATTTATTTTTCTTAACAAAAAAGCAACAATTTGGAGGGTAGGAGAGAAAATGGGTTCTGGCTTGCTATTAGGGTAAGACCAACACCTTATCAGAGGACTCAATGTCACTTTCTCTCTGGGGGAATGACACAACAGCACATCTAGTTGAAGATCAAACCAGGGCTGGACAAGGTGCAATCATTCCTGACTTGCATTTTCCACTGGTTTTGGAGCTAGTGATTGGTTCTGTCTTCTTGGCTTGAAACAGACGTGCTATGGCACAAACACCCCAGCTCCAACAGCACACTCAGCACTTGTCTGAAATGCCTAGAGGGAAACGTGCCTGCTGTGCCTAGTGGTGACTGGTCATCATAGGGAAATAGAGTGCCCAGAAGGAGGGATTGATAGAAGACACGGTGGAGGGCTGATGTGCGGCATGGGTTGCAATTTGAAACAGTTGTGTTGACCACTCCTTTCTCCTCATTAGTTTCCTCTTGCTTTTCAATGTCGCCTTGATTAGGTCATGACTATGCATGGACATTTTTGTCAGGAATGGCCAACATGCATGTGATTTGTGACTAGTAAGAACATTCTGAGAGTGATGCTTCATCAGGCAATGTCAATAGTGTTGGAAAGATTGCACCTTTCCCTGCAGAAACACGACCCCCTCCTGTGTACTGACCTCTTGATTCCCACCCTGTATCACCCATTTCCTCCTTTGTTTTTGCTTTACTCTCACAAAACAGGACTAAGATGGGTCTAAACTTTGCATGTTCTCTTGGGATTGTAAATCCAAGGAGGGCCTATAGGTATTAACATTTGAAAGAACTGCTAATTCAGGAAAACAATAGCTTTTTGTAAAAATTGCAGGCCCCCATTTTATGACCTCCCTGATACCTGCCAAATCTGGCTGGAGCTTTACTGAGGTTCCAAGTAGACTCCTGGGAGCCATGTGACAAAATGGGAAACAGGTTAGCAAGGGGTCCAAAATACCAGGCATGAAGTCAACGAGAGTAACTGCTGCTTGTTGGCAGGAGAACTGAACCTATTTCTTCACCAAATTTCTATGTTAAAGGTTAAGGGGAGAAGATACATGCAAGGAGGTCTTAGAAAAAAAATGCAGGCTGGGCATGAGTCACGTCATTGAGCTCCTACATGTTTCTACAATCCACAGAGATGCCTGATTGATTGCAGGTCTTTGAGGTTACTCTGAGTATTTGATATCCCAGGCTGTCCTTCACTGTTCACATACCACTTCCTCTGTGCCCAGCAGTGCCCTCATCAGCTTGTTAATCCACACGGAGGAGTCCCTGTCACGCTGCACAAGTTGCACTGATTTCCCAGGTCTGTAGACATGAGTAAGCTCATGGCAGGAGGAAGAAGACAGTCAACCCAAAGAGGTTCTATAAGTTATTCTAATATTGCCTTTGAGTCAGTCTTGGACTATTTCAATAAAAAATTCCTATCGCAAATTAAAACTACAACTTTTGCTTCTAATTCTACAGACTTAGGAGTATTCACATGTCTCATTCTGAATAATTTCAAGAATAAATAAAATCTATCGAGAGCAATGAACAACATGAAAATTGTTGTAAATTTTCAGGTTACAAAATATATATGAAAACTTAGGATAAGAGGAAAGTTTCTTTCCAATTTGATTCTAGTCACTCACAGAGGGGGCGTTGTTCGGGACAGCATTACCTGTAAAACAAGAGCTTCCCTTGATAAGAAAGGCCAGCTGACTCCTCAGGGCTACCTGCTGCGGCCACCGGATTTGTGTTCACAGGGACATCTCTATGATGTTTAACTGCCACGTGGCTCTCAACCACCCACCCTGTTTATAAACTCAGGCAGTGCTGTGGCCATGCAAAGGAGGGTGAACCTATGTTCCCAGCAAATGAAAAGCTTCTGTGGGTTTTTGGGTAATTGCCCAGAAGTTCCACAGCCACTCTGCCCCCTGGAAATCATATCCTAATGAGGGGAATGCAGTGGAACATAGTATATGCAAACTTCTTTTTCTCACTCGAGATTCCTTTACTATCCTACTCTCCCTTCTTGCCTGGTATGACTTTTTTCCAAGAGTACCTGGACAGCCTCATGCTTTCTACAAACTAACACTCTACCAGGGTGTATGTGAATGTGTTTCAGACACCAATATGCTGTATCTTCCTTGTTTAAGTGTGACTGTCTTGATACAGGTGGAGTTTATCCAGGGTAACTTGCTCAGTAATTATTCCTATTTTTTTCTGGCCTGGAGCTCACATTGGTGAAAATAAGGAAGGCTAGTTTTATTATTTAGCACTGGCTGCATTCCACCAGCCACAGAGATGAGATTTCTATCTACAAAGGCCCATGAAACACTGCAGAGACATGCAGGCAAAGGGAAATGGCCACATATCAGAAGTTCTATTATATATTCTTTTGTAAATACACCATGTACATTACTTAGATGTTTTCCTAAATCATTTACTGTCTTTATGAGTTAATGTCAGAATTTTTACTCTCTCAACTTACTGTATAACATTGTAAATAACATAATGTCCTTTATTATTTATATTTAAGCATCTAACATAGAGTTGTTTTCATATAAGTTTAAGGTAAATGTCAAAAATATATGTTTTTTGTTTTTCTTCACTTTAAAATTATGTATCTTTTTCTTTTTTTAAAGAATAATTTATTGTTCAGGAGAAAGAATGTATATGTAATTGAAACTATTTGAAGAATGCACATTTGAAAGCCGTGGGGGTACTGATAAACTAAAGAATTCCTTATCCAAAATACTAAGCAATAAGTAATTGTGATTTATTTAAAGTTTTGTTCATTTTCCATGAACGAAATACTGCAATAAAAATGCCACTCTGTGGAGACCTGGGAGTGTTGCTCAGCAGACTAACGTTTCAGTCTGTTAGACCAGCACCTTTCGTGTTCCTGCGACAGATGTTCTAATATAGGAATGTGTTTCATGGACCCCACATCATCTTGTCTGTGCTTTGCTTTGGCCTCACTGTCTATTCTTGAGTCATCTGCTGCCTATTGATTCTTCTTGACACTGTATTCCTTGTTTAAGGGGCCACACCCAAGCAATACGATGTCTCCCCCCAACCCCCATACACACAATAACATGTCAGAGAGGACATTTTAGGCATGATCACTGGGTCTTGGTTGTTAACATGTTCTGTAGTAACAGCAAGAAACTTCTTCAGACTAATGGAAATGTCAACATGGCAACCCATGCAGTCATGAGAGGAAAACTTGTCATTATCATTCAAATAGTCTGATGGCCACCATGGCCTCAAAGCAGCCAGTCAGAACCTGGCCATGCTAAGCTTCCTATCGCTTCAGTCAATTTATTTTCCATCAGGCTCTTAATTTAATGATTCACTGTTTTAAGAGGAGATAAGCCTAAATTGGGCTCATTACCCTTGTTCTATCAATAAGTTAAACTCAGTGTCCATCTTACTCCTCAGGGAAGGGTGTATGCATGAGAAATGTCCCATATCCTAAAACTGACAGAAATGAGGATATTACTTTTCTTACTGAAATTAGCCTAAACAAAAGCCATATTTTAACAAATAGTTATTTGCGTGGGTGGTACTTTTTATATATTTCAAGCATTTTACTCAGTATTCCAAACAGGGTAAGGGCAAGAAGAGGTCAGCAATCCTTTGGGGTACACAGTGGCCCCCTTTGAAGTCTGATGATACCTGAGGCTTCCCATCAATATCACTTCCATATATGCACATGATTCCTGTTACCTACCAACAGTTCCACTAGTGTCCTCGCCAAAACAGTCTGGATGTCTAGAAGAGTCAGTGTGATCTTTATGCTAGTTTTATTATTTACATTACTAAATTTTCAAAACTATTCAGAAACCTCGCATTTGTGTCAACGGGATTTACATGCACACACACACACACACACACACACACACACACACAAATGCTGAACACACACTAACCCAAAGCCACCACATTCTTTCACCTATTCAATTAAGAAAATCAAGGATTGAGCAGAATTTAAAAATTAAAGATGAAGGCATTTTCCTATGTCTTCAAATTTAAGCTGAGGCTTTGACCATCTCCCAGATTGAAAACTACAAGCTGTCTTAGTGATTTCTGTTAAAACTGGGTACCTAAGCTATAATTGAGACAGATGCATGTATGGTGGAGGGAGGTATGGAGAGAGTGAAGATACACATATAGCCAAATTAAATATCTGGATAATTGTTACTATTCTCCATTCACTTCAACCATGTAGACTCTTGAATGTCAAACTCAGGCCAGCTCTCCAAACTAGCAAATGATCTATCTTTCCAATGTAGTGTCTTCCCCATCATTTGATTTCTTTGCTCTCTGTCCTGATGATGAATGACAAGAGGACTCAATGTCAAGGATTTGGGGTTAAGAGAGGCAATTCTGAAATCTAGAGATTTAGCATGCTGTAAGGAATGGGCGTTGTTTGGTCTCATGTGAATCAGTCTGCACTCCACCTTTGGCCAGCCCTCCCTGAAATGGATAGCATGAAATAAATTTATGAAAACTATTAGTCCAAATGATTAATTTGGTAGGAAATAGAAATGCTTTCAGTTTATAAAAGACGGAACCATCCTACTGCTACAAAAAGCAGCAATATTTCTAACCTTTCAGGCTGTTGTTGGTCAATTAGCTGGGCCCAATCCTCCATGTTATGCTCCTGTTGACATCCTGAGACTGTGGTTGTTGTACCTCTCTGGTGAGCTGTTGGTTTTGCACTTCAGTGAGCTCCAAAATATCATCCATCAGGAAAATAGGAAAGGACTTTGTTACCTGGAGGAAAACCATCATGATCTACCTGATTATTTTAAGAACAGAGTAGGAGAAGGAGACCAGTAATTCCTAAAGAGGAGACAAAATGTGGCAATGGTTCCACCCAGGATCTTTTTCTAAGCCTTCCCCTTCAAACTGACTTATTGAGACAATTTGATAGAGGAAACAACATCCCTTCCCACCCCACAGCATGCTGAAGAGGCTAGAGAATTATTTGTAGATGTAAACATCATTTATAGTTTGTATAGATTTGCTCATAAGCAGAGAAATAACCTGTTAAGTATAAGTAACATTTTATCACATTTTATGACTTAAAACATCCTTTATCTCCTTTTCATTCTCACTTTTGACCTTCTGGGATATTGATATGATACATGATGAGGACAATTTAGGCTCAGGGAAGTAAAAATCTTTACTGAAGCTACACACAAGTGAGTTGCAGAGATAATAGTAATATCAAAGTTTTCTGACTACAATTCTTATTTCTACTGACCATACTCCTCCCAACCCTCTGACCCAAGAACAAACAAGTCTTTCATTTTTGATTTTTCATTACATGGACAGTACATGTTACAACCAAAACCAAGTTCCTATTTGAAAGACAGTGAGCCCCTCTGACTTAGGTTTAGAGATACTCTAGAACCCAATTTGCTTGGCTCTATGTACCTTTCCCTAAACAGAGCTTCCTAAGGAAATGAAGTGTAGCCATGGGAATGAATTCTCAGTCTCAATATGTAGGTAACACCTGCAGCAGAAAGAGTATAGCACTTAGCAACTTTGTGAATTTGCACGATTTCCTTCTTCAAGCTTATTTCCCGATCTCTAACATGGCAATTCAATGGACTTCACAAGGCTGGGATGTGGTGACGATAAATTTAAGCACATGTAAGGAAGCCATAAAATGTCCACCCCATAGTGATTTTCAAATACTACCTTCTATTGCTTTTTCCCTTCCAGATTCTTAAGATTTGGAACCTAAGTTTCTCAGTTCTAAATGACATACTCTACATTGCACACACTGATCAAATAAACATATCATTTCTCCAGTGTAGTAAGCAAATATGTGCAACAAGTAAATTCCCTTTTAATAAGAACTATATGTTGTACAGCATAATCACTAACCAGCATTAAAGTTGCTGCTCAATAACTTCATGTATTTTATGTTTGCTTCTTGTGTAGCCATACCATTTTACATGAAGTCTCTAATTTCAGTGTCTTATTCTATTAATGTTTCATTATAATTCACAGAAATTTACTAAAACATAACTCTTTATACAGTTTTCATAATTCCACCTTCAAACTTCATTGCAAATATCTACTAAGACAAACAGACAAAAAGATCCTAAATATATAGGATGCCTATGCACACCATTTGCCTTAGTTTGCACCCAGAATGTTTAGACATATTTCATTTTTTAAACTGTAGTCCAAAGGCCCAGCAAAAGGTCTGCCTGCAGGGCAACAACATCAGAGGAGTTAAGTCTCAGATTAATTCCTAAATGTAAGTAACCACTTGGTTTGTAGATGTTTCTCAGCCACTCCCATTACCCAACCAAAAGTTCTTAAGGTTCTACTCACTCTTCATTCTATGCATAAAACAGAATTCTTGTCTTGGGTCCAAAGCAATTAATAATTTATAGATTTAAGTTTGTTTGATTCAATCCTTTAAAACTTTATTCTCCATCAAGGGTGGCAGGTGACTTGGTCTTATGATATATATCACCAGGCTCATGGCATAGACATTGTTAATAGTAAGAGAGTCTCATATAATTGTCCACATAGCATCCTTCATTTAAATAAAAATGTATTGCATTGAAATAAAGTTGTCTTTATGTTTTAAAAAATAAGGAAGTTTTCTTATTTTTTAAAAAAATAATCTAGATATAAGCATTATATTTCTTAATTATGAATTACCATCATGAGTTAAGCTAACACTTGTCTTCTATTCTGTGACTTTCATGAGGTGAATCCTTCTTGCCTGACCTTGACCCCTTCTCTTGAAGTAAGACACTCAGAGAGACTTCAGGTTAGGGTCATTTTCTAGAGCCCTTCTCATTTCTCACAGTTGAGTCTAACATGAACTTTTCATCTTCACCATTGGTGTGTACTTTACTAATCAATAAGGTTACAAAACAGACAACTTCCTCTTGGGTCCTAGAGCCTCACCATGAAGAATAAGGATGATAGGAAATGCCACGTGGGAGAGCCACTTGTTCTGAGCTCCTCAATTCCCAGCAGCTAGGTTCCTTCCAGTTGTGAGATGAATCTGACATCATACAAGAATGTCTCCACAAAGACCTCACTCTCCCTTTAGATTTTCTCTTTTTTTGCAAAACAAAGGCCTCCCTAGTAACTCCTTAGTTCATAGCCCTTCTTTGATCCCTTTGATTTCAAAACATTTGAAGTCATAAAGCCATATAACTTCACACTCTGAACATAGTCAGAAACTATGGGATTTAGGATTTAAAGTGATTTTATGAAACTAGAAGTCCTTTTTTATTTGATGTAGTCCATTTTGAAAACTTGAAGGCAAACCACACAGCACTGCATCTTCTCCATTATCTGCATGACTGAATTGTCTTTCACAATGTGAAAAGATGCTTACTCCACCACACATTTCGAGTTCTGCTTTGTTTGTTTGAGGAGTTAGATCTCTAGTCAGGAATCTGAGGGAAGAACCTTGGATTCTTCCTGCTAAAATGTTAACACCAAGCTATTGAAATGCACAGCTCCAGTTAGAGTCAAAATCATTTCAATTATCAAGCAAAGAAGCAAGTAAGGGAAAATATCCCCTCATCTGGTTAGGAAAGAACATGGACCATACTAGAACCTGAGCAATATTCTAGGTCTCTTCCTCCATATCTAACCAGTGACAACGGTGACTGTACCATGGCTATGTCAAGCACACCCCTCCCTTCCTTCAGAGCCCCACTGCTTCACCCTTGGTCAGCCTCTTCCATTGGGCCCCATTAGCCTCCTGTCTGGTCTGCTTCCTTCAGCTCCTATGGGACATCCTTCACATTCTGCTAGAAAGTTCTCTTATAAATTGCAAACCTTATTGAACCATTATCCTGGTTAAAGCTTTTCATGTCTCCCCATGAAGCTCAACTCCTCAGCCTGACCCAGGATACTCTTCACAGGCCTATTTCTGCCAAACTCTTGTAGCTTGGCATCCATTCTCACCCTTCATTCCATTTATGACTTCCTGTTTCCCAAATACATCACACCAGTGTTTATCAAACTCTGTTCATTGGCAGATCAACTTCATGGTGATTGTCATGTCCACAGTACCACCTGTATTATTTTTTGCATATTGTTCTCATTAACCTCATTTTTAACTAAAATAAAGTCATTTCAAATGAAACTTTGTATCAATGCTATGAATGGAAAACCGAAATCAGTTGCCACAATAAAAATAAAACTGTAAAAAATTTATATAATAAAAATGGAACAGTGTATATAAGTTCTAAAAAGATCATGTTGACCGCTATCGTGTCTGAGTCAAAACCTGCTCTCTGACAAAAAGGGAGACCAGCAAGTGTTAGAACGGTGGGAAATCTATTTGGGAAACAGAAAGATTGGTGCATTGAGGTTTATTTCATGCTAGTTCTTAAAATCATTTGGGATACAACATTCAGTCACCCACACATCTTAGACAACCACACAGTGTTGTGCTTGTTATAAATCCCTGCCCTGGTGTAGACCACATCACTTT